GCATGCCCGTGTTGTCTAAAGGATACATGTTCAAAAAGGTTATCTCATGGTGGTAAGGAATGCTTCATGGGTCATAGACGCTATTTGCCAAAAAATCATAAGTGGAGGAAAGAAAAGGATTCATTTGACGGACAAGTCGAGAAGGGTGTTCCTCAACAACCTTGTTCAGTTGACGATATTCTTTACCAGGTAAAAGATCTTGAGACCATCATATTGTCTAAAGATTCAAACGTGAAGACCAAAATATGTCATGAGGCTAGAGGGGATAATTGGAATAAAAAGAGTGTTTTTTTTAAGCTTCCGTACTGGAAAACACTTTCATTGCGACACAATTTAGATGTGATGCATATAGAGAAAAACATATGTGACAGTGTTCTTGGGACAATTATGAGCATCAAAGGAAAGACTAAAGACACCTTAAAATCACGTCTTGATTTAGAAGCAATGGGATTGAGGTCTACATTGCACCTTGTCAAAGAAGAAGGTAAGTTAAAGATGCCTCCTGCACCATATACTTTGTCCCCCTCTGAAAAACGAAAATTTTGCCAGTTTTTGAAAGAACTCAAAGTTCCTGATGGTTTTTCATCAAACATATCCTATTGTGTTAACACCAAAGATGCTAAAATTTCAGGCTTGAAAAGCCATGATTGTCATGTAATACTTGAGCATCTTCTTCCTTTCGCAATACGTGGTCTTCTCACTCCACTTGTCCGTGAAGCACTAATTGAGCTATCAATGTTTTTTAGCATATTATGTTCTAAAGTGCTTAAGGTTTGTGATTTAGAGCACATTGAGTCACAAATTCCTGTCACTCTATGCAAATTAGAGAAAATATTTCCTCCATCATTCTTTGATGTTATGATGCACTTACCTATTCATTTAGCCAATGAAGCTAAAAAGGGAGGTCCAGTTCTATTCAGATGGATGTATTCTATTGAACAATATATGTACCATCTTAAGTCTTATATAAGAAATAGGGCTCAACCAGAGGCTTCAATTGCGGAGGGCTATTTGGCAGAGGAGTGTATGACTATGTGTTCAAGGTATATGAATAGTATAGAGACCAGATTTAATCGTCTCGATAGAAATTATGAAAATGCAAATGGTGGTGATGAAGACTTGTCCATTTTTAGTCATTCCGGTCGTGGTTTGGGATCTCCTACTATCATATCTCTTGAAAAGCGTGAGTTGGACCAAGCACACCTTTACATCTTGAAGAATTGTGACGAGGTTCAACCTTTTATTGAGTAAGAAATCGAGACTTCTAATTTTCGGAAGGGCCTTTAATTTAATTCTGTTTTTTTCCCATGCAATTTAAGCATATAATCTTGTATTTTTTTTATAGAGAATTCTCCAGAGTTCAAGGCTCATGTAATCCTGAAATCATAGAAGAGGGTTGGTGGAAGGATTTTAAAATCTGGTTCAAGAATGAAGTAAGTAATAACTTTTACTAAAATTTTAAATCAGTTGCAAAGTTAAATAATTAATTGTTATTGTGTTTGAAATACCTCATTTTTGGTAGGTAAGACGATTGTATGAGCATACTAAGAGCAAGGAAATGACCAATTTGCTTGCACTGTCACGTGGACCAACACAATATGTGACATCTTTTAGTGGCTATATTGTTAATGGATACAGATTTCATACAGAAAGTCGTGAGAAGACTTTGAGAACACAAAATAGTGGTGTGGCTGTATTGGGGAATACAGGGAGCGGAGGTGAAGATATTGATTATTATGGAGTTGTCAGGGAGATAGTAGAGTTGCAATATCTTGGGGGAAATCGAGTTGTGTTATTCCGTTGCAAATGGTGGGATGTGTATGATAAGGTTAGAGGTATTAAGGAAGACGAGTATGGATTTGTAACTGTTAATTCAAATAAGCAATTGAAAACAAATGAACCCTTTATCCTCGCTAGTCAAGCAAGACAGGCTTTCTATGTCACTGACAACATTAATAAAGGCTGGCTGCTCGTTGCAAAAAATAGACCCCGCATATTTTATGATATCACAGATGATGACAATGATGGAAGAAAAGAATGTGATGCCTATCAAAGTAGCGAGTTATTCCAGCCCGTATATGTCTCATCATCCTCGACAGCCGCAAGTGCTGAAATTTGTAAGAGTAGGGTTGGTATAGATCCAATTATTGTGGAAGATATTTCAAAGAGAAGTGACAAACAAAAGTGCAGGAAGAGGAGAAGAGAGGAATAAACTAGTTATTAGTTGTATAAAAAAACTCTTTGACAGTGCTCTTTTTGTTTCATAGTCTTAGAAATTTGTGGTCCGTCTATAGAGTTGCTATTAATTCAGCCTGTTGAGCAGTTTTTTTTCGGTTCTTATCATAATTGATTTTTTTTTCTATGCTATTATATTGTCCTAAAACACACATAACCTTTCTGAATTTATTTACTATTGCATACTTGCATAGAGCATTAGAGCTTATCATTTACGGCTATATTTAATACATTTAATCAGTATATAATCCCTTAATACGAAGGATAAAGAATATTATATTTAAATTCAGGGAAATGTTTCATTCTAAGGATAGTGCACAGAAACCTTCTCTGCCAAGATCTAAAAGGTCTTATGTACCGCCACAAGCGTTAGCAAAGGGATGTGGCAAAAAGGCAGGTGATTTATTCTCATCTTCTAAAAGTCTTAAGGGACTGATGAGGAGTGGCAGCGATAATTCGAAATCCATTTCTGGCCCTAAAAGTGTTTCTAAAGGTCTATTTGTGAGAGAATATCCCACAGGAGCACCGTTCGACCCTCTGGGTATTCTCCCTCAAATAAATGGCGACATGAAGTATTGGGATTCATCCGTTAATAAGACAATTCTTGAGGACAGTGATGATATATTTGATGAACTTAATGACACGGAAGTGGATATCTATTCAGAAGCACGAAAGGATCCAAATGGTTAGAGTCTTTATTATTATTTTTTGTTTTATACTTCTATACTTTTATTATTTCAGATTTATTTCAGATTTTGTATTGTGCAGGGAGTGGCTTTTTTACTTCTATGAAGAATCCTATGAAGGGTAAAAAGAGAGGAAGAAATATGTGTGGTGATGTTACTGAATTGCAGGAGGTAGAGCCAAGATTCGTAAACAATTCTAATGGTAATGGTTTAACTTATATTAATTATTTAACTCATTTTTTAACATTTACTATTTAATACTTCATATTCGGCCTTTTTGCATAATTAGTACTAGATTGTCTAGCTAGGTCATGTAGTTGATTAATTTACTCATTAGTATTTTTTATTCTAAAACTATAATTGTCTAGTTAGGTCGTGTAGTTGGTTAATTAACTCTTTATTTGTTGTGTTGTTGATTAAGCTATATGTATACATTATCTATGTTTAAAAGGCGTTATTTACCTGGCAGCTAACATTTTTTTTACAAATCTCAGTGCACCAAAAAAATTATACGAGCCAAAAAAATTATATGGAGATTCTACTTGTCTACTATATAAATCTTTTATATCTCTGTCATCTCCACTTCTTGTTTTATTGCATAGAAGAGTGCAATAGAAGAATTAATTAAAAAATTGTATGCATTATATACTACAATAACTTTTTTTTATTGTTAAAGGAGGTTGCTCTTTTACATCTAAGAAGAGTACTGGTATTACAAATAAAAGAGCAAGAAACATTATTGATGATGCTAGTGACAACGAAGAAGAGTTAAATCCTAGAGTTTCAAGGAAAACGAACGGTAAAGGTTGTGTAGTTTTTGTTATTATTATTTTCATGTTTATTATTACTATCATCATCATTATTATCATCATCATCATTTGATAGCTTAAATGAAATTTTGTCATATTGAAGAAGGAAGCTCTTTTACTTCTAAGAAGGATTTTGGGATTGAAAAAAATAGAAGAAGCATTCTGGACGATGTTTTGTACAACGAATTAGAGCGAAATTCTGAAGTTCCAGGAAAACCAAATTGTAAGCGTTTGATACTTTCTTTCAATGTTTGATAACTCATTAGTTAGGCAAGTTTTGGGATTATGATAGGGTGTTTGATGTTTCAACTTGATGCAACCCTCTTTTGAAAACTTGCTCTGTAAAATCATATCCAGATTTAATATTTAAACCAAAATTTGTCATTGTTGAAGGGGGTGACTCTTTTACTTCCACGGAGAATACTCGGACGGGAAAAAAAAGAGGAACAAATATTTTTGACGATGCTAGTGAATTGGAGCTAGATCTGACATTATTACAAGATTCAAATGGTAATGGTTTAATATGTAATGATTGTTTTTGTTTCTTTTTCCTCTATATTTAATGCTTCATGTTCGTCTTGGTTGAAGGCGGCGGCAATTGTACTACTAAAAGTAAAGTTCAACATGAAAGCACAAGTGGAAGAAAAGTTGCTTCTGACGTTAGAACCACTGTAATGGATGGAGACCGGACAACTCTACATAATTCAAATGGTAAAGCTGGATATATGTGTTTTCTATTATGTTCTTGAGATATCTGAATTTAATTTCCTGAGTGTTACATGCTACTAGTTCAATGCGGTGAAGTTGGATAGTTCATTAATTAGTTAGGCAAAATTTGGGTGTCTGATAGGGTACTTGGCCTCCTACTTTTCAACAATATATCTAATCCAATCCCTCTTGTGTATGAAGTGGTTGTGATGACTCTAGATTACTGATATTGTTGTATTTGGACAACTTAATCTGTATCTTGGTAGGGTAATCCCGAATGACCCGGTTATTGCAGCCATAATGACTTGGACTTTTCACACTGCCTGCTGAAAACACAGACTCTGAGCCTTTGCATAAGAGTTACCTCTCACAACCAGGCAATGTAGTGATTAGATATTCACCTGTATTGGTTACTAGGAATATCCCTACTTCATTTATAGAGTAAATTTTCAAAAAAGAGAAAAATGCTTGTTAATATATGTGCTTTCTATTATGTTCTTGGAAGACCTGAATTTAAGTTTCTAAGAATGTCACATGCTATTATTTCGATGCGGTGAAGGTGGGGGCTCCTATACTAATAACATGCAAGGGGGAAATGATCTTGATGGCATTAGTGACACTGAATCAGAAGAAGATCAGATAGTCGTTCAAGATCTAAATGGTAAACATTCATTATTTTATTAGTGATATACTACAATTTTTATTCTTGTTATTATCCAACACTTTGAATAATACTTTGTTTTGGTTGAAGGTGTTGACTCTTGTAATACCAAGAAGAAATCAGTGATTGAAAAAAAGAGGGGGAGAAATAAGTGTAAAGAAATAGCAAGGCTAAAACCTGGTCAGAAGCTTGAAATAAGTTTCTATAACAATAGAGGCGTTGGCAAGAATCATGAAGTATGGGCAAGACATTTGGGAATTATAGTACGAGATACAAATATCTGCCCAGTGAGAGTGCACAAATGGGGTGACATAGGAGAAAGAGAAAAAGATCATATGTGGAGTGCAGTGACGGTAATTACATACATATAGTTTGTGTAAAAACTTAGTATTTATAAATTTGTCTCTTAACATTACTCTTCAACAACTTTTCAAATTTTCAGGATGTCTTCAATAATGAGAATATAGAACTTTACAAAGAGCATACTCTTAAGCATATGAAAGAATTGTGGAAAAATTGGAGATCAGACTTGTTAAGGCATAATATAACTAAAAAGAAGATAACCTTAAAAGCTGCATACTATCGTGATCCACCTGAAGGACTTGAAAAGGATGAGTGGAAGTGGCTTATAAGAGAGGTCTTTTCTAGTGAACAGTTTCAGGTAAATTTTAATAGTTTGAGCAATCTTTACTCTAATGTGTGTAGATATGTCATAATACTATTTTTTCTGCAGAAAAGAAGTGCAACAAACTCTGCTAATAGAGGTTGTTACTCTAATGATCTAATGCATCGAACAGGGAGCAAGCCTTTTAGGCAAGTCATTTGGGATGATTTGGTATGAAAGTTAAGTCGCGTTTCATGTTTTATCTTTTATAAAATTTTGTCTTGAATAGAAAAGTATATAATTGATACTGGTGTGTTATGGAAGGGTGCAAGTGAGGGTAATGATCCAAGTTTACTTGATATTTTCTATACCACTCGCAAGAAAGGAGATAAGCTTCCAAATGAGCAGACAGCACAAAAACATGTATGTCCATATTATTGAACGCTTTTTTTATGTTTTGAAAATAAAATTGCTTTCCTTGAAACAAGGAATATTTCATTATGTAACAGAAACTCTGTATTCAGCTTCCAACTTGATTCTTGTTAGTTTTTTTTCCGGGTAAAAATTATTTGGTTATGATATTACATTATAGGATGAAATTCGTGAGACGCTGGAAAAAGATCCATCGCTTTCAAATGTTCAGGTGACTATATTTATCCACTTCTTTATTTGACTCGAGGGTGTGAAGAACAGTGATTTTGTAGTCAAAGTATATATGGCCATATGGGTGTCTTGTTTCTTAATATCCAGTTTGTATTTTTCTGATGCATAGGTGGCACAAAAGGTTTTTAAATCTAAGTCTAAAGATCGGGTTGTGGGTTATGGAGGAGGAATAAAGCTTAAAGATATAACAGGACCACAACCTAGTAGAGAAGAACTTCAAGCTGAATTGAATGCCACTAAAAAGCAGAATCAATTTTTGGTCAATCGTGTGGAGACGATTGAAGAGGAGAATAATGAGCTTAAGGATCGTGTGGGGACGATTCAAGAGGAGAACACTGAGCTTAAGGATCGTGTGGAGACGATTCAAGAGGAGAACACTGAGCTTAAGGATCGTGTGGGTTCCGTGGAGTCCCGAATGCAAATGTTTCAAGATATGCTGGTGAAGCAACTTAATTTTTCAATTCCTCGTTAGAGTTTCCTACTAGGTATGTTTAAATTACTATTGCAAATAAATTAGAAGTGAATCTTGAATTATACACACAGCTCTTGGTTTTCATGTTTAGAAAGTATACATCAGTGCAAGTGATATGATCTGATCCTCTTGTGAGCTTTTAGAGATGAATCCAAAGATGATTGTCAAACTGTTGTGTACCAGAGAGCTGCAGTAAAAAATTAAAAGTGAATTTTGAATTATACATACATCTCGTGGTTTTCATGTTTAGAAAGTATACATCAGCGCATGTGATATGATCCGATCCTGTTGTGAGCTTTTAGAGATGAATCCAAAGATGATTGTCAAACTGTAGTGTACCAGAGAGCTGCAGTCAAAAATTAAAAGTGAATCTTGAATTATACACACAACTCTTGGTTTTCATGTTTAGAAAGTATACATCAGTGTTTGAGATATGATCTGATCCTCTTGTGAGCTTTTAGAGATGAATCCAAAGATGTTTGTCAAACTGTAGTGTACCAGAGAAACTATACTCAAGATTTACTCAAAAATGGCACCAAAGAGGAACCAACCGGAGGGCTCTAACTCAAGGGGACCTATTCGAGGCTACGAGGATGTTCAATTTGGCCCGGGGGATCATCGGAAGCGATTTGTGACCGCTCTCAAAAGGCAAGTTATCCCATCTCGGTTCTTATGCCATGACGCTCTTACTTCTCTTGGCTTGTTAGATGGTATGAGAGAACTATTTGATGAATTGCATATGGGCTTGATTTTTAACTTGCAATATAATTGTAATGAAAGAATCATCTATGAATTTTTGAGCTCGGCCAAATTTGCATTGGATGAAAATCATTTTTATGATGACACTATCACGTTTCGGTTGATGAACACCGAATACACTATAACGAGACGTGATTTTGCCGAACACTTTGGGCTCCGATTCCCACATGAAAGGGAGATTCCGGACAACACCATGGATGCTTATAATCTTTGGGGTAAAATGACCGGAGAACGGAATTTTAGCACGTCTCAACTTTACATTAGTCACGTGCAACATCCCCTTCTCCGGATTTTCCTCAAATTTTTGTTCAACTCTTTGCTCGGCCGACCCAACAACCATCACACTCGGATAGGGGATGTAGCCATTCTCACTCTTGCTCTTTTCCGCAATCCCGTTGAGTTCAACATTTGCAACTTGATTTGGGATCATCTACAGAAGGCTATCATCAAAGGGGGAAACATTGTTGTAGGGGGTGTTATCATGCATTTGGCCTCCAAGTTTGGCTATGTGGATAATGCCACAATCTCTAGAGATTCATTGATGCATCTTGGATGGTTGTCCAATGCACAATTGATCTCTTTGGGTAACAAAGACCACAACGGAAACCAAAAATACAAATGGCATATGAAGTACCCCCGAACCGGTCAAATACTTCCCCCTCCCTTGCGATGAGTTACCTAGACTTAGGTATAAGATGGAGCCCGCCCACATCCCACATTACCTCCTCCCCAACAACATTCCACCCCATCTCCAAGCCCAAGCCGACCAAGCCGACCAAGCCGAACAACCCAATCCCCAACCGGAGCAACCCGAGCATCAAGAGGGACACGACTATTTCCAACATGACATCCCCGACCATCCCCAAAATCCGCCACCACAAGACTTTTTCCAACAACTCTTGGAGGGTCAACAATCCCTCCTAGCCGGTTTCCAAACAATGAGCCTTGATTACACCAAAATGGGAGAGCAATTCACTCAACTTCAAGGAGAAATAGGCCATTACCGGAACGAGCAACAAGCAAGGGAACGACAATTTGATGCTTACCGGGAGGAGCAACGGTTGGCTTTTCAAAGGATGGAGGAACAAAGGGCGGCCGACATGCAAAGGTATGAAGAAGACTACCGGAGGATGTATGGACCGACATATTCGTACATGTCCCAACTTGGTGGGTTTGCGTCAATGGCCTCACCTCCACCGGCACCCTCATGGTATAACCCCTCCGATTGGGGGAATTTCGGTGGCTCTAGTTCCGGCGGCGGCTATGATGGAGGAGACACCACTATGGGAGAAGGGGGCGGTGATGACGTGCACGGGAGCGGCTTTGGAGGCGGCTACTACGGAAGAGAAGGCGGGCACTAGGGATAGTGCCATGCTTCAAGTGTGGGGGAGGAAGATCATCTTGTGGTATGTACACTCCTTTATTTCTACCTTGTACTAAGCATTATTTTCTAAAAAAAAAAATGAAACAAAAAAAAAAAAATGAAATAAAAGAAATGAAATGCTAGTTAGGTTGAAAACCCAAAAGGGCAATCTAAGCAACAAGGGCTTACACAAAAAAAAAAAACAAAAAAAAAAAAAAAAAAAAAAACAAAATGAGTGAGTGGAAGAGAAGGAAAAGAAAAGAGATGCTAGGATGAAAACCTGAAAAGGCTCCTAGGCAAAATGAGAGATATGAGAGAAAAATTTGTTCTATTTTGCAGGACACCATCTCTTGAGGAAGAAGAAGAAGAAGGAGAGAAGACAAGAAAAAGAAGAAATAGGAAGCATAGAAGACCGTTAAACCCAAGGAAATGTTGTTTTGTAACTTCATTCACTATACTTGGTGGTTTTAGTTTCTTATTTCTTCCTCTCTATGAACTCATGATCTTGTGATAAACATTGTATAAACATTTGGTTTTACTCGAGGTCGAGTAAAGGAACTAAGTGTGGGGGAGTTGACATTCATGTTATTTCCGTATTTATAATTGTGTTTTTGATTAGTTTTGAGTGATTGTTACTCTAGAAATTACACACTTTTGGTGTAAAAGTTTAGTTTGTAAAATAGTTTTAAATTGTTTAGATTAGGTTGATTCTGAGCTCAAACAGGTCCAAGACCACTCTAGGGACCATTGGTGAACATCACAATTGGAAGGAAAGTGCAAAGATTTCAAGAAAAGATGAAGATTCTGATTTTTGGTAGTGTACCCGGTCGAGTATGCCCTATACTCGATCGGGTAAGTTGCTGAAAAGTCAAATCGGATAAATCCGGGAACAAGGCAACATGCAGGAGGATTTTCTAACTCGATCGCGTATCCATACCCGATCGGGTAGCCGACATACCCGATCGGGTATGACCCCAGAATTTCAGTTTCGAGGAAACTAACCCTTACCCGATCGGTTGAGCTAAAAACTCGATCGGGTACACGACCCTGCAGGCCTAAAAAGCCTATAAATACACCCCATTTCCTCCACAAGAAGGACACCAATTCTTATATACTTCTAAGCTCAGTTTAGACAAGTTCTTTCTTTATATTTTTATCATGTTTAGCCTCCAATAATTGGAGGCTAAACATGATAAAAATATAAAGAAAGAACTTGTCTAAACTGAGCTTAGAAGTATATAAGAATTGGTGTCCTTCTTGTGGAGGAAATGGGGTGTATTTATAGGCTTTTTAGGCCTGCAGGGTCGTGTACCCGATCGAGTTTTTAGCTCAACCGATCGGGTAAGGGTTAGTTTCCTCGAAACTGAAATTCTGGGGTCATACCCGATCGGGTATGTCGGCTACCCGATCGGGTATGGATACGCGATCGAGTTAGAAAATCCTCCTGCATGTTGCCTTGTTCCCGGATTTATCCGATTTGACTTTTCAGCAACTTACCCGATCGAGTATAGGGCATACTCGACCGGGTACACTACCAAAAATCAGAATCTTCATCTTTTCTTGAAATCTTTGCACTTTCCTTCCAATTGTGATGTTCACCAATGGTCCCTAGAGTGGTCTTGGACCTGTTTGAGCTCAGAATCAACCTAATCTAAACAATTTAAAACTATTTTACAAACTAAACTTTTACACCAAAAGTGTGTAATTTCTAGAGTAACAATCACTCAAAACTAATCAAAAACACAATTATAAATACGGAAATAACATGAAT